GTTATCAGAGAAATTATGCAAATGTTATGTTTGTATGTACTGGTAATCTATTTATCATTTATCATGATTCCTGCTCTGATGATTACTTTCTTCTACTTCTGTAATTTTAATAGATAAAGGATGATGAACATTAAGCTCCAAACAGGATGAGTGAGGAAGACCACAGAGGAGAATCATGGCTGTAGTAAAATAATACATGCAGTTGGTTTTTTTTTCATGGTGGAGGAGCAACTTCTGATACTATCTTAAAGAAAAAACACATCAAATTGAAGAGTAAAAATAATGACAACAATATGTCTACATTTTTTTATTAATTTCTTAAAGTAAATGCAGTCTTGTCATGGTCAGAGTTGCCCACTCATATTTAACTAATTCAAATACAATTACTGCATATCAATGCTTATGTTCTAATAAAAGGCATTGTTTAATACTTCTTCCATGACAACCCAAATAAATCAATGATAGGGAAACGGGAAGATTAGTAATCAGGCAAGGTTTACTGTTCATTTACCATGCCCTGATAACAGTAAGCTTAACAAAAGAAAAATGTTGGGGACGAGAACCGGGCGGCTGAGCCAGATCAAAGACATTACTAAAACAAAAAGACGCCAACAGCTTCCCTAAAGCGGAAATAAAATAATATGCAAAACAAAAGGCCTGTGTACCTGCTTGACACATAAGGTCAGTCACAGGACACAAAAGTGTCATCACCTGCCTAACCTAGTGTTTTTAACACTTAAAGCTCAGTTGAATGTGTTTGGGGTACCCCGATCTTATCTGTCCAGCCTCACACCCAAACACTCTATTCACACACACAGACACCTACTAACAAAAGTTCAAAGACAGTCTGAAGCCAACCTGCTGGCCTGGGAGCTTGTTTTTTGAAATTATCCCAGGCAAGCGATTGGTCTACTGTTCCCCAGATCAGCCAATAGAGACGTGCCAATTACCTTTGTATTGAGTGTATTGAGTATTGAATGAGGCTTGACACCTGAAAGACAAGAGTAAGAGAAAACAAAGAGCTGGGTACCATGGCATGTAACAGATGTTTTTCCATGCTCAATTTTGATTGTCTCAGTAAATATGTTAACTGCAAAAACATTGAAAATCTAATTCAACTCACTTGTTCAATAGAAAATAATATTTTCCTTCTTGTTCGTTAATTTTCACGTCACTCTAAGTAATAGTAGTCTTAGAAGTATAAAAACAACTTTCAATTCTCATAATTTATATGAAAGTCTTTAATCACATCTTTTACAATATATTTTAAGCAATATGCTTTTGTCTTTTTCTCTGACACGCATTGTCTTTAACATTAATATTATGAATTACCTATACAATATCTTGCCTTTTGATTACAGGTTTCATAATTTTTTTTTCATACTGTAACTCGTATAAATATTTCTGCCAATACTATTTTGATTATATTTTATACATGAAATAACAAGGCCGTACATTGCCTTAACATTTTTTAGTTTTTGCTTCATTATTAGAATTAAATTAGTATTATTTGTTAATTCAATGCAAACTGATGTGTGGGACAAGAGTCACATGACATAGAGCCAACCCACTTTTGATCTTTCGGCATTTATTGAGGTGTTGCGTCGCTCGGACAGATAACGTAGCTTTCATTGCGACAGGAAACGTTTATATGTGGTTACGCTGTCATTACATATAATTATTATTAGTACACTGAACTTTTCATCGAGGCCTACGTGGACAAAAATTTTCGGTTTACCCACCAACAATAAAATGGAAAGGTGAGTAATTAACACTAAAAATGGGACTATTAACAAGAAACGAGAACATTCTAGCCATTTAATGCCAGTTATTTTCCTCAGTCTAATTAGAGAAAATTGTTTTAGATTGTTTGCGCTTTGTGTATAGTCTTCGTCCAGAAATGTGTCTAAAATCGAAATTTTTAGAATTTGAAAACCTCAATAATATTGATATACTAACCAATAGAGAGCATATATAGAAATATAGCATATACCGAAGATTAGATTTTGTAGTCTTAGGCGTACATTTAAAAGTAACACCCTCCAGTTAAGCTTAGTGAAAACTGCTCAGTCCTTTGACTTTTGATGTTGTATCTTTTCCAAAAAATATATATTCATTGAGAAAAAGAAGTGATAACACTTTGTGATAACAAAATGTATATGTAACATAGTATAACATTATTAATATTACTAAATTAATTAGGGAATGGTGACGATGAGAAAATGCCAGATTTTGAGTAGAAGACCATAAAACTCTGGAGAGTGCACCAAGTGGAGGAGTTCAAGTATCTCGGGGTCTTGTTCGCGAGTGATGGGAGAAGGGAGCCGGAGATCGACAGACGGATTGGGGCTGCAGCTGCAGTAATGCGGACGCTGCACCGGTCCGTCGTGGTGAAGAGGGAGCTGAGTGTAAAA